GAAGACCTAACCCCGCGGCGCCCGGCCGGGAGCGGTGGCCCAGAGTCCGCGCCTCACTTCCCCCAGCCCCCGTTCCGGGCGCGGGATCCCCGCGGCGCCTCCCTGAAAACTTTCAGGGCGCTGCTCACCTTGGCGGCCGGCGCAGATGGTCCGCCCCGGCAGCCCCCTGGTGAGCGCCCTCGGCACGTGCCAGATGGGCGGCCCTGGCCGGAGGAGCTCGCTGTGGTGCACGGGGGCGTCTTCTGGAGCCGCGGCCTGGAAGAGCAGGTGCCCCGGGGCTTCTCGGAGGCCCAGGCGGCGGCGTGGCTGGAGGCGGCGCGCAGTGCCCGGGTAGTGGCGCTGGAGCGCGGGGGCTGCGGACGCAGTTCCAACCGGTTGGCGCGCTTCGCCGACGGCACCCGTGCCTGCGTGCGCTATGGCATCAACCCCGAGCAGATACAGGGCGAGGCCCTGTCCTACTACCTGGCGTGTCTGCTGGGCCTCCAGCGCCACGTGCCGCCGCTGGCACTAGCCCGGGTGGAGGCTCGGGGTGCACAGTGGGCGCAGGTGCAGGAGGAGCTTCGCGCGGCGCACTGGACGGAGGGCAGCGTGGTTAGCCTGACGAGCTGGCTGCCCAACCTCACGGACGTGGTGGTACCCGCGCCCTGGCGCTCCGAGGACGGCCATCTGCGGCCCCTGCGCGCTGCCGGGGGCGAGCTAGCCAACCGCAGCCAGGCGGAGCTTGTGGACCTGGTGCAGTGGACCGACTTGATCCTCTTTGACTACCTGACGGCCAACTTCGACCGGCTTGTCAGCAACCTCTTCAGCCTGCAGTGGGATCCGCGCGTCATGCAGCGCGCCACGAGCAACCTGCACCGCGGCCCCGGCGGGGCGCTCGTCTTTCTGGACAACGAGGCGGGCTTGGTGCACGGCTACCGGGTGGCGGGCATGTGGGACAAATACAATGAGCCGTTGCTGCAGTCAGTGTGCGTGTTTCGAGAGCGGACAGCGCGGCGCGTCCTGGAGCTGCACCGCGGCCAGGACGCAGCCGCCCGGCTGCTGCGCCTCTACCAGCGCCGTGAGCCTCGGTTCCCCGAGCTGGCCGAGCTCGCCGACCCCCACGCTCAGCTGCTACAGCGCCGCCTTGACTTCCTTGCCAAGCACATTTTGCACTGTAAGGCCAAGTACGGCCGCCGACCTGGGACTTAGCGTCACCCTGAGGACGGGAGAGAGACAGGGAGACCCCTGGCTGGGGGATGGGGGATGGGGGAAGGGCTGTCGCCTCTGCCACCTCCTGGGACCAGCCGGCCAACGCCCTGCCAGTGGTTTGAGCAGGAACTGGGCTAAGAACTTCAGTTTCACCTGCCTGCCCCTTTCTCCAATTTCGTGCTGTTTCCTTTCAAAGTTCTGGGAGAACTCACCGAGGTGAGAAGTGTACCATCCCCTCCACCCGGCCTATAAAAGGATTCTTCCCTGTGCCAGCAGGGAGTTTGGATGGGAAGGAACTGGCTGCCGGAGTTTGGCCTCCCGGTGGCTGTCTCTGTGGGAGATGCTTCCTACTGACCTCCTCCCCTTTCCCAAAAAGGAAAACTTCTATCAGAGCCTTGGAGCTAATTCTGCAGCTTCCTACCAAACGCTGTGCTGGCGGCTGGAAAGGGCTGTGACATTGGCTGGTGGAGCCCCCTTCCTGTGTTCTCCCTTTGTTCCAGCTGGTGATGGTGAGATCACTGTTAAGAGCTGGGGAACGGATCCGGATAGGACAAAGAGATCAGGACCTCCAGAACCTGGGGAGTCCTGCAGACCCTGACGATGTATCTGACTTGCTCTTTACCGCTTGTCATTTTGGCCTGAAGGCTACAGATGCCGATGGGCTGTGTGCACTGAATCACATAATGGATTTCTCCCCCTTCCCCCAATCGACCAAAATTTTGACAATGATGATGTTCACCAGAAGAAGAAAAAATCAGTTTCATGCACTTTACTTTGTTTTTATTTTAATTTTGTATTAAGAAAAAACTTTTTTATTTGACAAAATTTGCCTACTATGTATATATGTGCATAAAGTTTGGTGTAAATATACTAAACTTATATTTCAATAAAAGGGAGTCTAAAATTTAGAATTTAATTCCTGTGGTTTTAACTGTTTGAAGTATCTGATGTCCTGCCTGGTTTGAGAATGACTTTTAGGGTTTCTCCCTTGTGGATGTGCTTTTAAAACAAAGGACCCATATAGACCCCAGTTGTGACTATGGAATTTGTAGAACTGAACAAAGACAAGAACAGATTCCCTATTCTGCTAACTCAAATGAGCCCTAGTGCTGGAAATGTCAGAGTTTAGCATAGACTGTGGGGGAAGGTGGAGAGAGAGGGGGAAGGAAAGTATTCTATTTCCTGGCAAATAAAACTTTGATATAAAGGGATTTCACTGTAATATATTCCTATATTAATCATGTGGCAACTATGATAGAACCAGATGTGCAGACTAAAATGACAAATGCCCCCTTTTTAAACTTAACTACAGTGGTCACGTGTTGCACGTTATTTTCAGCATTGTAATTACCATGCATCCCAATGTGTGCAAGTAATAAGCTGAACACATTGCAAACAGGTAGAGAAAGTCATAAATTAACTCTTCTCTTTAATCCCCTGGCATAAATTCCATTGCATCCAGAAGATCATAATCTTCCAACATCTGGACTCATCACCCAGCTCTGTTAAGAGATTGTACTGTGTTTATTTTTCCAGGTAATAATTGCAGGGTCCCCTCAGAGCAGCCATTGTGAGACTGAAAGTGTGCAGTACTTTGTATTTGACATTTGGACTCTACTTCTTGGGGATTTCAAATTTTAAAAAGAAATTTGGATTGTCTTAAACTTCTTCTGACCCATGGAGGAGGGCAAAGGTGGTTTTTGTTTTACAACCCATTGCTGTTTTATCTTGCCATTTTATTTGCTATCTGGGTCCAAGTGATCGCGCCTACTATCTTCTTTTTATTTAATGACCTTTAACTCAAAGCAACTTTTGTTTACTTTAAATTTTTTTATTTGACTAGCATTTATAAACCTAGAGTTTTATAGACTCCTGGAGATATTAAATCTCTGTGGGTTCCCGTCTCATTCTGCATTACAACGCAGCATGTAATTTAACTACTATTTAATGCCATCCTTATGTTTAGACTCCATAAACTTTGTAATGATAGCGAAGTTTTTTCCTAATACAGCCACAATGGACTGATAATGACAAATATACCCCTTTTCAAGACATTGCTAGTGTGAGACCTCTGATAATTACCTTTGAAAAAGAAACATTTCCAGTTCTGATAATCAGTTAATAACTATGAGATTTGCTGCCTAAGCCAATGGAGGCTGCTCCAAGAAAAAAGATAACTATTCAGTAACCTGCATTTTTACGTGACATGTTCATCAAGGAAAATGATGAACAGAGGTAAGTTAGGAGTTTCACAGATTGTGCAGGAAATACACCCTGACTCCCATATCATATCTGCACTAGAGAGTTCTGGGCCAACAGCATTCTCTGCATTCCTCCTAAACTTCAGTTCCAAGCCCAGACTTGACCATGGTTAACCCAGAGCAAGAAACTGAGCATAATTAAAAAGACTTCTTAGATTCTTCAGTGAACCATATCTGCCTGTTGGAGAAATAAGTTTAATTACATGGTAGAGTTGTTAAGGGAACCAAGGCTTAATTATAGAGAACAGGTTTAAACTGTTGCTTGTTCGTCGTGGATAGCCAGTAGGCTGTGGCACGGAAAGATCAATTAAAGTTATGCCATGGTCAGTGAATGCCACTGAGGCCAAATCATTCTTCAGGTGAAGAACAAAAGCCTTCCAGGCTGCAGCATGATGTGGAAAGAGTAATGGGTTCTGCAGATACTGTGTTCTGAATTCTGTCCCTCACCTATTTCAGCAAGTCATTTAACTTAGTTCCCTCATCTATGAAATGGAGATTCGATCAGAGTATTGTGGGAGTTAACAATGTTAACATATAAAACATACGGGCACCTTGTAAGTATTTTTTTTTAAAAACACACACACTCATTTCCTATTCAACTTTAACAAAACAAACCCTTGCCCTTACACTTCAGTAAACTTCTACTAATTCTCATTACCAAAACCAAATCTAGCAGTTTTTCAAAGTCAGGTTCAGTTTTTGAAGTGTGGTAATAAATAAATTCAACATATTCTTGAGGACCCTCCTCTAGTGCTATGCAAAGCCCTGGATCATAAGGCCAAGGGCACAGGTTTGACCTCTACATGGGCTTGAGTGGGTTGTTCCAGCCTCTAAGCAGACTCCCTGCACCAAGGGAGTTATACTACAAATATAAGAGGAGATTTAAATAAAATTTAAAAAGTAGATAGCTCCTTGCAAACTCATCACCACTTCTGGAAAGCATCAAAAAGCGATGCATCTTTGCAAGAAGAACAATCCTCTCCATTCCTTCCGCCAAGAGAAAGTAGCAGTTGACCTTTTCTCCCTGGATTTGACTGTTGGTTAATTCACATTGTCAATGACATAGTTCTAAACTCTATTAAGAGTACTTGCCCTCCTGAATCAGGAGGAAAAACAAATGATTCTAACACATCTCGACACTTCTCACCCTTCTGCCTGGGACTGCAGCTAGCAGAGCTCTGTGAGGGCGAGAGGTTGATTATGTGGATTAAACGAGTAAATACTTGTGATAGTCTCAGAACAGCGCCTGGCACATCGTAAATGCAATATAAGTGTTCATTTATTAGTGGGGTACAGTAGATAATTTTCTCCTCTAAGTCAAAACCAGAGGCTCTTAGAGCCCCAGGCAGGATTCTCTTTCATAATCTTGCCATGTCTTTGCAGTCACAGAAGACTTTGTACATGCTTCGATTTGGCCCAGGAAGACCAGCCAGAGTGCCTGAGTCTGGAAGGAATTACCCAAAGCCCACAGTTGTCAGCTGGTTGTCTCCTTCCTGAGAATGCCTTCGCTATGAGTCGTCACATGCACCCCCTCTTTTTCACAGGGAGGCTGTGATTCTATTTCTCGTGTATCTCGTCAGCTCCAGAGAGCAATGAGCTGTGGAATTTTGCATCTTCTGAGCTACCCAATAGTCATGGATGATCCATGCCTGGGCACTCACTGTCTCCCCACACATCTGCCCCATCCCACAGAACTGCTGACCCCATATGATATAAGGTCTTCAGGAGTACTAGAGAAGGAGACAGGGGAGTCCAGCTGATCCAGAAACACAGGAATTGTTCCAGAAGGGAATAGAATGTAAGCTGCCAAGGTGGTATGGAAACCACAGGGCAGAGTTGACATCCAACTGGAAGCCTACTTTGATCATTAGGGGATATTGGGAGTCAAGAGACCTGGGCTACTTCTGGCTCATGTGTGACTTAGGAAAGTCATTTCCCCTCTCTGGCTCCAGGTGCCCAACCTGGAACAGAAGGTGTTTGATTTGATTGGTAACTTTCCAGTTTTGTTTTGTTTTTACCAGAACTCACAGTAAGTCACAGACTTTACATTGTGACCTAGCATGCATACACACGCGCGTGTGCACACACACACACACACTCGTACAACTGAAACCAAAGTTTCACAAAGCATATATGCAATGCACTTTTAATATTCAATTCAATTCCACTTCATTCTATTCCCCCTCTTCCTCTACTTCCCAGTGCCAGTTGTGACTCTAAGCTGGTTTCAATTCATCAGTGTGGCACAGTGTGCACTGTGCAAAACACTAGGTTAGGTGATTGGTGAGCTCCTTTCCAGATCTAAGATTCTAGAGAATTCCACTCATAACCAGTTTACCACCTACTACAGTGTTTCCCCCAAATGGATACAGATTTCAATTTTGGATACTCTTCGAAAACAAAAGACCGAAGTGGTTTTTCAAAATGTAATTGGGACAACTGCTCAAAATCTTACAGGGTGTCTTCTTATGAACCCCTTTAAAATCGCCTTAAACATGAGACATAGCTTTCAGTCTGTCCTGACCATAACGGAGCAAATAGTGCTATTGTGGGGCTTTGGAGGGGAAAAAAAGTCTTTCCATCTCTCTCTCAACATGGCCCAAGGACAACTCAAGAGGGCAGTTCCTTATCTGTGCCGTCCTGAAGATCAGATGTAAGAGTCATGATTTTTTCATGCGATTGTTTTACCCATTTCTCTCTCTGTGTCCTGCTGTGGGAGAAACTACATTAATAAACTATGTCTCAGTGCTGCCTCGCTGGAATTTTTTTCTCCGCAGGACTCCACCAAATATAGTTAAAGGAATGCTCGTTTTATTTATCTTTTCAACTTGCTTTCCATTTTAGATATGTCTCCTTGACACTTTTGACATTTTCCTCTTAATGGCACCTTTATTTTATTTTATTTTTTTTTTGGAAGATAGAGAACTAACTATTCATCAAGTAACAACAACAACAGAAAAAAACTCCTTGTTCCCCCTTTCTTTGGCGCCATATGGTATCTTTTATAGTTTTAGCAGTTGTTTTACACCCTGTCCAGAAAAATTAAATAGCTTATGTATAGAACTGGCCTTTTGCCAGTATCAGCTCACAGATTTTACTTTGCTGAGAAACTGCGGGTTAATAATAGAGAAGTGTCGCTTTCAATGTGACGGTCCTGCATCCTGCGTTTGTCTCCGCTTGTTTATACCTTCCCCTCGGTGTTTTGGGTTTTTTTCCTCATGCTCTTTAAAGTCTTTGTCTTCACTCTCAAATGGCTTGGAGAAGCAAGGTGAGTGGGATTGACCGCAGACATGATCTTATTCTCTTTTTTTAAATTGTGATTCAAATATACATGCCATAAATTTTGCCATTTGAGACAATTTTGTGTACAATTCAGAGATATTATACTATGAACCTTGTGCAACCACGCCATTATTTCCAAAACTTTCTCATTGCCCCAAAGAAAAATTGTCATCATGAAGCAATGATGACAATTCCTCCCTCCCCCGAGGCCCAGGTAACTTCTAATTTACTTTCTGTCTGTATGAACTTGCCTATTCTACACATGTCACATAACTGGACTCATGCATTATTTGTCCTTCTGTGCCTGGGTTTTTTCACTTAACACAGCCGTGACCTTGGTCCTGAAGGCAACGCGACAGAATGTGAGCAGTGTCACTTGGGAACTGGCAAAACTGGGTTTGAGCCTGATTTCCACCGTTTAATAAATAGCCCTGGATTTTCAGACCAGTTGAT